AGTCATATCAAGATAACGTGTTAATCCTCATATGGAGCTTGGACTACTAATTATATCAAGCCAGTGGGTGTAAAGGAACATGTATAAGCCTTGGAGTGAGAAAGCCATGATATTACCACTTTCTGACTGAGTGACTTTGGGTAAGTTCTATAGTCAACCTGAGCCTCAGTTTTTCAGATCTGTAGTACTTACTTTAAATGGTTGCTCTGTGAATTAAATAACATAATTTATATGAAAACACTTAATTATGAATCCTGTAAAATTATCACAGCCATTAATGTGTTATAGTAGCATCACACATTTTGCAGCATAATCCAGAGAACAAGGAATTGTTAATGGGAGAGGAAGATAATCTGGTTGGACTGGTAGTATATTCTCAGGTGTGACTGACTTCTTAGGTGACCTTCAAGATGTTAGTACAACTCTCTAATTGGAGATACTATCTTCTGGGGATGTTAATATCCACTCTAGTCACAAAGTTGTAAGAAAAGTCAAGTTCCATGGGTGGAACTCTCCAAAGCTCTGCTTAAAACTAAAATATCTTAGTTGTCACTGAAGCCACAGATATTTTGTGAATGCAGCATGCTCCCAATAGGGAGTCCCTCAGCCTCACAGTCCAAGCTGGCAACAGGATCACATCCCCAGGGAAAGACCAGAAAGGCTGGCAGGCAGTCACACCACTGATATCTCAGGCGTGTGAGCCCCCCTTTAACCAGACTTCTCTGGATGGAGACTAGACTCTGCAGCCAGTAAAAGCGCCATCTGATTCCATCTGAGCGCACTTCCATTGTTAATACTGAACCTTTCCCATTTTCTGGTCCAGTCTGAATGCTCCCCATTCAGAGGACCTGCACTTTCAAGTATTCCTTCTGCTCTCGTCACCCATGGCCACCTTCCATTACCCACCTTCTCCTCTTTTTCCTGCTTCCTTGCTGCCTGCTGTCTCATCAAGCACCCTGCCTTGGTTTTTTGACCTGTCACTATACTCACGAAAGAGGAGGGCATTGTGCTAGGGCAGATGATGGGAAGGCAGAGAGAACAGGAGAGTCAGGTAGCAATAGTGCTTCTGAAAAATCTCCTGATAACAGCATTCATTGTCCTTTTCACAGCTCAGGAGAAGCCCTGGTTAAAATGAGGGGGAAAAATCAGTAGAATAAGTGGGTTCTGAGCTCCCAGAGCAAGAGGTTGGTATTCAAAATTGGGGGTCTGTACCCATTAGGATGGCTTTTACTTGAACTTTGTGAGCTACAGGCAGAACCCTTTGCATCTTCTAACCTAAGCAGTATCTTTCTTACTCTTTTTTTTTCACTTGTCAGTCATGGCAGAGTAAGTGTCAGAGCTGGTCCATGAGAAGAAGGTGATGAGGAGGCATTGAAAAATTGAGAAAAATGTATACTTTTACCATGCCCAACACCCTTGGCAAGCAGTAAAGGACACCACCTCCCCCTCAATTTCTTCCCTTGCTGTTTGGTTTCTGTGCCTCTAGTGCTCAGTGCCTGCTTTCCTAGGAAATTCTCTGTGCTCTGTGCTGACATTTTATCCATATACCAATTCTTGCCTTTTGCATATATATTTGAGAGAGTAGGCTATACCCTAAACTCTGAATTACATAGCTGCAATATAATCACTGGTTTTATTGATTATCTGAAATTTTTTTTTTAAATTCAGGATTGGTTTCTGTATGCCATCCACATCATTTTGCAGTTGGTTTCATTTATCCTTGGTTCCTTCGTGATGAATGGAACAGTTTAATTTTTCTTAAAATGACCACATACTCTGTACTAAATGCTTTATCTCTTCAATTTTGAAAACACCTTCATAAGACAGGTACTTACTATATTATACTCAAGTTATAGATAAGGAAACTGAGGCTTATAGAGGTTACATTACATGCCCAAGCCACTCAGCCAAGGAAATAGAATTCATATCTGACTCCTACATCTATATAGCCCCAAAATGGATCATTTTAAAGTGAAGGAACTTATATGACCTTCCCCTTGATGTTATAATTCAAGTATCCACTTTTTACTTTGTGTCCCCTTCTGACAAATCAGGCTTGCCATTCCTGACCATAGGCTTAAACCTGAAAAGCCATCTCTTACCATTTATCTTCACTTTTCCCTTCTTTACTTGGAGAGCAACAATCAACAGATCTCATCCGTTTTATGTGTATAATGTCTAAAACCATTTTGGGATTGCTGTAAGTAATATGCAAGAAAATAGTGGGAAAAAAATGTTTATTGAAACACAATAATTCATTCCTGCTGGGTAGTCACCCATTTCACATTTATACATACACAATGAAAGTTGTGAGCACCTCACTAATCTGAAAATATACCCCATTTAGTAAGACAGTTCCTGAAATACCTACACTCCACCATCACAGCACCTGAATAATTATAGAGAGTACCTTCCTTTAAGGAGCTCCCAAGTGCTTTGCAAACATTTCTCCTTATTAAGTAACATACCATTGTTCCGTGGCAGAGACGGAAACAGGATACTTTGTCTTATTTAAAATGTGGGACTGTGAATATGTTCAGTGACTAAGCAGGTTGCCTTCGGGTCATTCACTGACAAAGCCAGGATTAGAGTCTTCAGGAGCTGTGGTCCACCATGGGCTGAGGACCACTAAATCCACAAAGGACCATGTGGCAAGCGCCTGGTTCAACTCTTCACATACGGAAGGTGAAACAAACCCAGAGAGATGAAAACACTTAAAAAGCCCAGGGTCACATGGGTAATTAATGGTAGAACCAATACTACATGCATGCCTATATATGCTATGGAGAGAAACATGACAACCGTGAAGAATCAATTTATAGACAGATTAGGAGAGTGTGAAAATAAAAAGGCTTCATCAGTGACCTTGCCTCAAGGAAGAACACGCAAACAGCAGAGCATTTTAACATAGGTGAAGTTTCAACTTCCTAGCAGCCAAAATACCATCTGGAAGGTACGCATCCCATGAAAGGTGACAGGCGAACACGTTTTAAATGACAGTTGGCCAGCCTATCATAGCCTCTATAAATTTTCTGAAAGCATGAGGATACAAAGACCAGCGGACTTCCAGGCCTGTTTACAGCTGATAGAAATGTTTCAGTTAAAAACATGCATGACTGTCTCTCTTAGGGAATCTCTTACTTCAAAAAAAATGTACCAATATAAACACTATGCATAGACTGAGGTCTTCAGCAAATTGAGATTATTAGCAATGAGGCATCTCTAACTTTTCCTGTTTTAATCTGAAAGTAAAATTCTTCTCTTCTAACCCTGTGATCTTATGCATCATACTGTCTGGTCAGTATGCTTCAAAGCCTATCTGTTTATGTTTGAAAACACGACAAAAAAGAATCTTCCTGATGAGAGAAAGTTTCATAAAATGGATCATGAGCATACAACACTTAATACCAACCCTGCCACATAGTAAGCACTCAATGCATGGTGATTGTTTTTATTGCTGCTATTACCATAACACATCGGAGCTCTTCTATCTGATAATGGGAAAAATGGAAAAACAGTCAAGGCATATATTTTAAATGGAAGTTAGCTCAAATTTTAAAAGATTTCTTACCCTGATGCATAGTTCAGTTGTTGAAATATTACCCTAAGGAGTTTCAGAGGCTTTGGGTTTTAGTTTGGATCATGGAAGAATATGTGGAAGAAGGACTTTTTTCTCGAGGTGAGTACCTACACTGGGCGGTCAGGAAGGAGATGGTAGAGATGGACCAAACACTTTAATGCAGTTCATCTCACCTGCCAGAAGCAGAGCTGAGAACAAACAACACAAACAAAACAAGTCTTTAAGTAATTATCTAAAGAGATGTCACAGGCCCATGGACTTTAAGAATACCTCATGTGGTCATTCAGTGACTGGGTATTGTTACTTACCTCACTGTTTGTAACAAACTTGATCATTTGGTTTCTAAGCCAAGCCAAAGCACTAAACTGAGGAGAAAGAAGGGCTTCTGCCAGCAGGCTGAGAACAAAGGAGGAGGCAGGAAAACTGTTTTAAAAACTGACACAAGAGTTCAAAAACCATATGGAAGCATTTAATGGGGGTGGGAGGTAGCCTTGTAATAAGAACACCATGCATGTATTCCCACACTGCTCTCGGTGGTCTGCAAAGTGATTTCATATGTATTTTATGTCAACACCAGCACAGTGAGGTAAGTAAGACTGTATACCTCAGAGGCATTTGGTGATTTGTCAGAATGGTGTGTAGTGTGTTGGTGCCCAGATTTGAACAGGACCATTTGAGTCTGATGTCATCATGTTGCCCACACTCTACTCAGCCTCCACACCTGCTGAAGCCACTCTCCAGCTCAGTACAGTCAATAGAGAACAGGCAATTAACCCTTAAGTTACCTGTTAGGAAGATTTATGTCCAAAGTAGACAAACTCGAAAGTATAGCTCTTCAGAATGACTTATTCCTATGTTGGCAAATATTTTCCAAACTCACCATCAATACATAGGTGTATTTATTAGACAGACTACTAGAAGTGGGAACTTTCCCCAAGGAATCAAGCTATATGACCAATGTTCTTGGTTATCAAGAATTCTAGAGCGCCCCATGTCTCCAAAGATCTTTCTTCTCTCTTATTTCTTACATTGGTTTGATAATGTTAATGGGAAACACTAAATCCCCAAATCAGATCACTGAAAGTGGCCCCCTTTGAAAGTAGCCCTCCCTTTTCCACAGAATGACCTTTGAAGACTTTTAGTGGGGAATATCTGGTAGCTTTCCAAGAGATCCATTTCATGGCATAGGGAAATGGAAACCAAAACTGTCTTGGCATCACCATAAAGCAAAATTTCCCTGCACACAAGAGGCTAGGAGGGCCTGGATTTTTCCAATCAAGGATGATCCATTAAGGGATCAGATTTTATTTGTTTAATTTTTTTGTTTTTCTTTTTTGTTGTCTTGTTTTTCTGTCCTTCATCCTCCGTCCCTTGCTATGTCTCGCTCTGTCCTGCTTGCTGTCTCTTCCTACGTCAACAGGTGAGAAGCCCCACCAATGCAGCATCTGTTGGCGCTCCTTCTCCTTAAAGGATTACCTTATCAAGCACATGGTGACACACACAGGAGTGCGGGCATACCAGTGTAGTATCTGCAACAAGCGCTTCACCCAGAAGAGCTCCCTCAACGTGCACATGCGACTCCACCGGGGAGAGAAGTCCTACGAGTGCTACATCTGCAAAAAGAAGTTCTCTCACAAGACCCTCCTGGAGCGACACGTGGCCCTGCACAGTGCCAGCAATGGGACCCCTCCTGCGGGCACACCCCCAGGTGCCCGCGCTGGCCCCCCAGGCGTGGTGGCCTGCACGGAGGGGACGACTTACGTCTGCTCCGTCTGTCCAGCAAAGTTTGACCAAATCGAGCAGTTCAACGACCACATGAGGATGCATGTGTCTGACGGATAAGTAGTATCTTTCTCTCTTTCTTATGAACAAAAGAAAACAACAACAAAAAACAAACAAAAAAGCTATGGCACTAGAATTTAAGAAATGTTTTGGTTTCATTTTTACTTTCTGTTTTTGTTTTTGTTTCGTTTCATTTTGTACTACATGAAGAACTGTTTTTTGCCTGCTGGTACATTACATTTCTGGAGGCTTGGGTGAATAATAGTTTTCCCAGTCTCCCTCGGATGGTGGCCTTAAGGCCTGGTAGTGCTTCAAGAGGTCCACTGGTTGGATCTCTAGCTACTGGCCTCTAAATACAACCCTTCTTTACAAAAAAAAATCTTTTAAAAAAAAGTAAAAAAAAAAAAAAAAAAATAAAAAAAAAAAAAAAAAAAAAAAAAAAAAATCCACATGTGAAGAGCACTACAAAAAATATATAACAAAATCTAAAAGGCCTACTGTCTTTAAGTACACCGCTTGCAGTGTTTCAGTGGACATTTTCACAATTCTGGCCGCTTGGACTTCACAGTAACCAGTTAAAACTGTGGAATATCACTTCTGGTTGAAAATCCAGAGGAAAGGCCCTGCTGTTTTCCGCCTACCACGTTGTCTGATTTCATAAAAGGGCTGTGGGGGTGGGAAGGGCAGTGGGTTCAGTGGTGTGGGAAAGAAAGACGAATGGCAGGCTTCTCCCCCAGATTCTGCCCGGGTCCACACACCCTGGCCCACCTTCTCCATATCCCCCCTTGCAGCAGAAGCCAGGAAGACTTGGACAAGCAACAAGCAACAGTGGCTATCGTATTTATTCAGTGTCTTCGCTGAGCCACAGCCTCAGCACAATCAAGAGGGACTTTCATGAAAGGCAGGAATGCAGATAAAACAAAGATATCAGAAATTTGCACCTATGTTTTTAGGTACAAGAGAAGGATTATTTCCAACAATCTTTGCAAAAAATAAGTGTCAAGATATATTCTTGTGGAAGAGAAAAAGAAAGAGAAATGGAGGGTGGGGGGAACAATAAAAAGTTCTTGAGGCTTTTTTAATTCAAAATTTTATAGAGGGGCAAAAGTGACGTTTACCAGATAGAATGCTGATTTTTTTAATATATTTACAACAGTATTTGTGTAAAAAAAAAAACAAAAAAAGTGAAATTGTTAAAGGTAATTTTTTTTCATCTTGGTTTTGCATACACTGCCACCAATTCCTTCTCTTTTATTTCACACACATATATATTTTTTGGTAAGTCAAGACTGTTAAGGTTAGCGATACTGCTTCCAGATAGAAAGAATAAAAGGCAACTAAAGTTATATTTGAAAGAGAGGAAGGATATTTTCTTCATATTTTTTTTAATTTTTCTTAATTTTTATTATTTTAAGTATTGCCTGGGTTGATGAGGGCCTCTGTGGCCAGCCCATCCCTGCTGTAATTTGAATTGCTGCTTTGTATTTTGATATGTAGTTCTTTGACTTTAGCAAGCTTAAGTTGTCCCACCGAATAATTTTTTCAACTGATTCATCTAGAATTCTTTTCTTTTTCATGGAAGAGACTGTATCTTTCAGAAAGAGATTGCTTGCTTCTCCAAAATTTCATTGAGATCTTACAATTCTAGAATTTCTATTGATTTACTTTTTTTCCTTGGTGAAACACTAGTAGTCTAGAAGTCTTGATAAATGGGGTCTTTTCTTTTGTGATCAGCCAGGAAGAGGAGTTCACAAAACTCTGCCATAGCTCCTCACCCTTCCCAACTACAAAGAGCGTCATTATGAGAAGCCTGTTACAGATCAAGATGCATTGATGCCAAAATCACTTTTTTTCTTTCAAATATCACCTTCTGACTGTTTCCACCATGGTTAAGAGGGCTAAATCAGATGATCATTCTTTAGATGACTAATTAACCCTTGCTTCTTGGAAAGGTTTTAGGGAAATTAACAAAAAGTTCCCAGATGCCAACATCCACCATTCAAAAGACCACCAATCTATTGCATCATACCAGATGCCACTCTCTCTCCCTAGTTGGGATTTCTCTCCTCGGTCCTGATGAAGGTGTTATAATAGAGATATTTTCTTTATAGACAGTGTCCTGAAGGCATTCCAGCTCAAATATAGGAATTCTTAAACCTAGCTAAAACTCCCAAAGTGATTTCATTTCTGGGCATATTTTAACACACTTAGGGGAAAGCAAATCTTTAAACAAAGCAAAACACCAAACTACAGTTTTAAAAAGAAGAAAGGAGAGAGTATTTTAGTTTCAAAATTACATTGCATTTTAATTTAATTTTCCTTCTAATTTTCCTGTCAGCATTTTATTTACAAAAACTGTGCAGCAAACGAGAGAAAATCTTCCAACACAAACAACTCTGTAATGACTAAATTGGTTTTATTCATATATTTTAGACATTTGGTTAACTTGGATCTTTTTCATAAGTTCGTTGTGATGCTTAGTAAGGTTAGTGTAACTGAAGTGTTTGTGAGTTTGATTTGGTCCCACAGTGCTGAATTAAGTGGGTATTTTGCTACAAGTTTTAATGTAAACTTGGGTAGTTAAATGACTATTGAGTATAACCTATCATGATTTCTAAGAGGAGTCCTACCAATAACCATGTGTCCAAAACGGACCTGTTTTAACAGTTAGTGAGGAACAGCTTCCAAAATAAAGTAAGTTCGTTTTTCTATTGCTAATTTTGCTTTTCAAAATAGCAGTGTTGTAAGACTAATATTTCCAATTACCACCAATAGAGGGAGCATTAGTTAATTAACTGTGTCATGGAATTGTTTTGATATTTTGGAAAACAAGTGATTCCACCCATAAAATAAAAAGAGAAGATTGACCTTAAGAAAAAAAACTCTTAAAGCTAGAAGGCAATGACATGAAATCACTCAATACATGTTACAAATGAAAGAAGGCCAAAAGCCACTTTAAAATATTTTTAACTGTTTAACAGTAGTGGATTTGAAAGTGTCTTTGTTCAAATTTAGCGAAGTAGGAAGAATTTTCATTAATACCTCCAGAAAAGTTGATCTTAGGTGCCATTATGGGCCACATGTAGCTATCTGTTTCTCAAATCTGAGGGAGACCCATTTGCCTTAATGCTGATTAGCCATGTAAAATGCTAAGCAATTGGGTTAGAATCCACCTTTTCTTTTGATAGAACAAAAGATAAAGAAAAAGCTGCAGGTGACTTGAAACCCTAAGGATTCTGTCATCCTTTCCCTGTAAAGGAAGTGTCTCTTAAAAAAAAAAAAAAAAGAGTAGGAGGATCCCTAAAGAATTCTTAACAAGGTGATATAATCATTGTAGTCCATGACAAAATGGACCAGTCAGGTTTGCATAGCAGTGGACATATTCCTACTGCATATTTATCCTTCCCAAACATGTCACATTCTAAAATAGCTGACAGATCATTTTGTGGAGAAAGGAGGAAGCTGGATTGGAGTGGGAGATCTAATCTAGAGGAGCCAAAAGGTAGTTGTTTATTGCCATATTCCTGGCCTGTCAAATGGCCACTTTCTAAACTGACCCACATTTTAGGAAGTAAACCAGTCTGGACCTGTTTCAAAAGGATAGAGATGCTTTTAGATTGTCAATTCTCACTTTCAAATTAAACAATCACAAATATCTTTGGAAATAGGGAAAGATATTTTGCTTCAGAATCAGAGAATTAGTGTGGATCTTTTTAATGTTTTGGGTTTTTTTTGTTTCATGTCCTACAGTCATCTTACGTTTAGACCTTCATGCTAGGATGATATCAGTGCTAAAAAAATTTCTTTTCAATAGCAAGAAAAAAGATAGATAAGATAAAAGCAGCTGTTACAGATTTAAGACTTCTTAGGATGAGTACGAGGAAGAACTAGTTAGAAAGGACATTTTTGAGCAATTTATAATTTTAAAATGGAATTTGCCAAACAAGGGAAAGGAGAAAAAGTCAAAGGAGAAATTTTTTTTCTCAAGATTTTTAGATACAATTTATTAAAAAATATTATTTTCTAGCATTAAAAACATTGGTATTATCTCAGCATCGTGGGCAATTTTTTCTTATTAAATGCCAATATTTGTACAACAAAGGCCCCCAAATGTGTGAAATGTAATCTTAAAAAAAAGTAATAATTGGAACACATGGATCTGATACAACTCTACACATGGGGAAAATCTGAGAAATAAGCTAAGCAGAAAAAAAAAAATCTGAAATGAAAATCTCTGTATCAAAATGGTTTCCTGTATATTTTAACTGAGCGGTAAACTTTAGCTCCTAGTAACAGTTTTATAGCCTGTTCTCTTCCCAGATTCCTAATGCTTTGACTCTATTTGTGCCATGATTAAGTGTGCTGGATAATTTCCTGCTCATATTCTAGCTCCTAGTCATCTTAGAAGTCATAGTAGCTCTTGGCCTTGAAAGACTTGGGTTTGCTTTGTTTAAAAGTCCTAGGAGTTTTATTTTGTATCACCAAAATATTCTATAAGGTCTCCAGATACTCTTTTTCAACCCATGAACAGTAAGAATTTGTGAATTCTGATAATGAAAAGAGAAAAGTTTTCCTCCAGGTATGTTTGTTTCACATTCAGTCCTAAAGCCTTGAGTTACGTGTACTTCCCTCACACAAGCACACCAGCAGTCTATGCTCTGCCCATGCCCAAAACTCAATGGTTTTTCTCAGCACAGAAGTCAAAAATGAGATATGCCCCTGATAAAACCCCTTCGATTCCTGAGAAAGCATAATAAAGGCTTATATCGCTTCCTTGTTGAAGCTCCTTCATAATACTCCCAACACCCGTGACCCCTGCGAAAACAGGGCACAAGGTAGATCTGCCCAGGAGTCACAGGATAAACACCCATTCTGGAGCCTTCCTCTGTTGTTCTAGAAGATGTTATTTGATTAGTTGGGGCTGAGAGCAGGGGATATATGATTCTGCGGAAAAGGTATCAGATCATCAGATCAGGCCTGCCTCAGCTATAGCCAGTGTGCTGCTGCATCCAAAGGTAACAAAGGGAAGGTGCAACGTAAGAGCAGACACAACCTGAGATGCCCCTGAGATTTAGGAGAACAGGATGGTGCCCTTTCTGTTGTGACCTGACTCTTAAAAGAAATCTTCTAAAGGAATTCTTTAATTTGGTAATGAGTTGAAGTCCAGGGTAATGGAAGCTCTAGGGCAGAGAACAAAAGAATTGCAAAAATGTATTCAGCACCAAACAATGCTAAACCAAGAAACATCCAATCACAAAAGTAGGAAGTTTGGCAAGAAGTAGTTAGAGAAATCTCTGAGTTTTTCCATGGGTAGGGTCGACAGACTCTCTTTTGAGTGATTTCTGGCTCTGAGAAACCTCTTTACTCACTAGAAAAGAACTGTATTTAAATGGCCAATTTTTTTCCTCAGAAAAAGAAATTAAAAACAAAAAAAAAGAAAAATAGGACACTGAAGACAGAACCATGTGACTTGGTGACAAACAAAAGGAAGGGTGCACTAGAATTTCAATAGGCTCCCTAATTCCACAGAAAAAGCAAAGCAACCCAATGCCTCCTGAACCTGCAGTGCATGAAGAGAGCACTTGAGCTGACCCAGCCACCAGGCTTTCTGGGGCTAGACATAACTTCCCACTGGAACAGCAGCAGCTCCTTTCCCCTCTTTGTGTTTTCATGAAGAAAACGGTTGTTCTCTTAGGTACCCAGGAAATAGATTACATAGGGCAAACTTTCCAAAGCTATCTCTACCCTGGTGCTCAGGCTGCATATAGAGGCAGAAAAGGGGCATAGAAGAGCTCTTGCTCTTGAGAGAGAATATTTTCATATTCCCAAGGGCTTTCTGTGGAGCGTTGCTATTTCTGATGCCACTTAAACCTTTACAAGAGAAAAGGCTGTGGTGACTCAGTGTTCCTGTAAACTCAGAATGTGAAAATTACTAATCCAAAGCATCATTTCTAGCACTGAGTATCAAGATGATCAGCCTGACCAAAATACTTCAAAGACTCTTCTAAGTCTCTGAAGATTTTTTTTCTCCTTCAACACTGAGTATAGCAGTCAGCAGTGTACATTAGCAGATCCCTGAGAATGATTATGGAATAGTAGGGCTTGTTTCCATGCTTTTTAGAGTGAAGAGGTAGAAAATGAGGGCTGCATAGTGTGGGTTCTTTTTCAGAACTATGTATTTTCTCCTCACTGAATGAGGAGTAAAAATGGCCTGGGTTGAAACAAGAAACATTATCTTTCCACAGCACTGACTAAAACACCTGCCATTCCAGTGGTTTCCTAAGGCCCCACCTGTTGCTCCATAAACTGTAGACTTTCAGACTGAAATCTAATCTTAAGTGACCTCAATTTAGGTGTTTTCACAAGAGGCTACTTATTGTATAGCATTATTGCCTTAAATCAGAAAGCCTTGGGAAGAGGACAAATGATACAGAAATGAGAAGGCTCTGAAGATACAGGCATTTCTTGCTGTTTAATAGTTACATTATCACAAAAGTAAGCCCTATGTGTGATTGAGGACTATGGAAATAGTGACTTCTTGGGGAGGCACCAAACTTGTCTAGAACTGGTACTCTCAGATAGTGGCTGCTATTTCCTATTCTATTTCAGTGACGTAGGTTGGGGCTGAATGTAAAATAGACATCATATTACTAAATAGAATCCTATAAAATGTAATCACAGGTGCCTGGGAATACTAGTTTTAAACGTTTCCTTAACAAGGAGAACAATCCCAGCAAAAAGCTTTCTTTCCCCATACAGTGTATATCTGTAAACTTTTTTCCCTCAGTTTTAGAGAGCATCTCTTTTATCTGGTGGTTCTTTGTTTAAATGCAAACTCATAAGTTTCAAGTCTTCAGTGAAAGATCATAATCTACAGATGATACTCTACAGAGAAAAATCTAGCCACAGTCTTGAGAGTCCAGGCTTCTGGAATGCTTAATGAGGGTATAAAAGTCCCTACTAACCCTTTTTCAAATTCAGAGATTTCTTTGGTTCAAAATGCCTCAATGAGATTTTGATACATCCAAGAGAAAGAAAGAGAAAACAAAAAACAACAACCACCTTGGGGCATCTGTTTCTACTAGTGTTGCAACAGTTGTTATGACCCAGCAAAATCATTGCAATTTATATGTAGATTCTAGTAATGAAAGAGTCCTAACCAATCCAGCATGTCACCGCTGCTGTCCAAAATGTCTATGACTGAGTGTACGTTATTTATATGTGTGCACACACAGTATGAGCTGCTCTCAGCACAAAACTGTTCCACATTCATGTTGCCCAGTGACAACAAGATAGATTTTTGAATTTCTGGTTAGGAGTCAAAGGTCTGACATATCGCACATGTCTGCTCTGCTTTGTCGCCTTAGTTGGATGCATCACTATGTGTGATGAGAAATTTAGGGCAATCTGAAGGAGTCCAACCATCAGTAATTTCTGTGTATCCCTTTCATGAGAAACTTGAATATGCTCATGTGGAGTAGAGTGCATTTAACAAACTCTGCAGTTCTGTTGGATTTATTGACATGTAAGTGCATGTGTGTGTTTGCGTGTATACTTATTGTCATCTGGGAGTGTGTGTGCCTCCCAAATGAAGCACACACAGGCAGAGGTCCTCGTGCATAGATACAGTTGCCTCTTTCCACCATTGTGCTAAAGACTCATGGCTGCCTTCCCAGGAAGCAGTCACCTGCCCACTCTGTTGCTTTTTGTAATGTTTCAGAACTGGGAGAAACAAACGCAGCTTGTTGAATCCACAGCAAACCCACAGGGACAGGCTGTTTTCCTCCATAAGAAGGTAGAACAGAAGTCTTTGACTGGTGAGCAGACAAGAGGGAGCAGCAGTCCAGGGCACTTCCCCAGGTCTCCTAGAGGTGGGGGCACCAACGCCAGGCAGGCAAAGCCCACACAAACTTTGGCCTGAGCCATCCCATAGCTCTAAGGCCTTCATTCCTTTCCTCTATGCAACCCAGTGTGCACACACATGTGCACATACACACACACACACAAATTTTATTCCCAAACTAAAGCTTCCTAATTCTGCTTGTACGCAAAGGATATCATCATAATTCACAAACTGTGTCTCCTGAAACCAATGTGGCCTTTGCCAAAGTCTTTCCAGGAGTGAGTTGTTTACCATGTCTAGCAAACCAACAGAATATTGGGGGGAATATTTTTTGGTAATCTCTAAGAATTGATAGCTCTTGCCCATCTCAAACATTAAAGTAGAATGCCACTCTAGTATAATGTACTGAGTGAATGGACTCTGAAGGCTTGGTGACCTGGAATTCAGGATTCAGTTTTCTCACTCCCATGCCCTTCTTTTACTAGATGGTTTGTTATTTTTTATGACATGTAGATTATTTCTGCTTTACAGAAGTCAGAGGACATTTTCCTTCCTCTTCTATTTTGGTGACTTTTCCCCTTCCCCTATTAAGTAAGGCTACTTACAGTTGCAACTTCTCTGTTGTTATTACTTTTTTAAATTGTATATTGTCTTTCTATATCCAAAAGAAGTCTGTGACTGTAACCATAGGTATTTCTTTTTACTGGAAAAAAAAAATAGTCGTTTTGGTTTTTTTTTTTTTTCTTTTAATTAACAGTACTAGTGACTTTGTGAAAGAATATGAGTTACTATTTAGGTATGCTTACTTAAGTACAATACACTACATTGCAGTATTTCTGAAACCTAGGACATACACATTATATATAACAATTTTATATTGAAATATATATCACATTATATTCATTTTAACTTTTGAATCTGCCTATGATCATGAGTTGATTGAAATATTATGTCTTTGCATATATCACCCATCACCAACCTGCTGCAGTTAATCTGGTGCATTTAGTAATAATCATTACTGTTCTAATTTGCTTTTTATATTATCAGCTTCAATTTTGTCTTTAGAGGATTTTAGAATTTTTTAAAGCTCAGACTTAGCAAATGTAGGAAAGTGAAATCTTTTTTTGAAACTTTGTTGGTGTGACTAATACAAAGAGGTTCATATTCAAAATGATCTTGTTTAGCTGACCCACTCAATATCTGAAGAACAAAAGAAGTGCATATGAATGTATCTGTGATTTTCCCCTGTAGGACTGTCACTGTCTATACTTGCTTTTAAAAATATGACCAAGGGGCTGCTTAAGTGCTATATGATCTGACCAACAATAACAGGCTGCATTCAAAAGGGCCAGTCTTCTGAAAAGCATAAGACAGTGAACTGCCTACTTTTCCCCTTAATACTGGTTCTTTACTACTTCTTTTTCCAATATGCTTATAATTATTTTAACTAGTCTTCGATCTTTCCCTGGAGGCAGTGTGGCAATACAGTGTTCATTTTCCTGGGAGCTTTTTTCCTTTTTTTTTTTTAAACTAAAACCAGAGTTTGAAGAACTCTTAATCCACAGAGGCTAATAGAAGTATAACTCAGAAATATCTATCTGAGACATTTTTTAGTCTGAAGAATCCATAAAATGGTGGCTCTTGGGTATCCAGCCCTCAGGATCTCCATTCACCTATTAAAGTGAGGATTTGGTGCCTTTCTTCTTCAGTTAGGCCATCAAGGAACCTTCAGAAATCAGGCATCCTGTCTTCCTATACAGTAAATACTTTCAGATAAAGAGCGTCTTCGGCTTCCCTCGGCTCTTCAACCCAATGCATGGAAAGCCTCAGTTGAATAAACTTTTCCACCACCCTGGGTGCCTGAAACTAGTGTCCTTCTTCACTTCTACCTTCAGGACAAAATGAAGAGAGTTTTTTAAAACCTCAGTATAAAAGACCTTCTCACACTGGACCAATATGAAGGCCTGTCAGTGTGAATACTGAGGAATTCCTTCCTTTCATCTTTCCTAATAGATTTTCATTCTCTAATCCCATCCCATTCTGCTGTGCCTCTTCAGCAAAAAAGTCCCTTCTCACCTTAGCCAAGCTCCCTGCAGTGCTCTCCAGCCTGGTATTCACTAAGGAATGACCTACTCTTAGTCTACTTTGAAAGGGTGAATGTCTAGTGTAATGGCAAAATTACCAGTCTGTTCTCCAAAGTGTTCAACCAGATATATTTCTACTAGACAAACATAATTGTGAATTGACTGTTAAGTGAGGCTGTTTCTTCTCTAAGGATCAAACGATATCCAAATTATATCAACTTCATTCTTTCCCTCTTCCCTTTTCCTAACCCCTTCCCTTTATTTCTTGTTTCTCTTGAAGACTACTTCAAAATACGTAGTCATCACTGCCCCCTAACCTCTAATAATTATGACCCCTAACTGTTCATTTCTCTTCCTTTCCCAACCCCTTTCTGAACGTCTTTCTTTAAGCTTGATTTAATGAAAGAACACTAAAGTGAATGAGTTCATAAACTTGAGACTCGTAGGCAGAGTGAAGCATGTCTTCATTTTAGCTTCAGAGTTCAAAAGTTATCAATATTCTTTTGAGAGTGGGAGAACCTGAGTCACAGTTTTAAATGTCAACTGTACTAGCTGAGGTCATTAATTCCTCTTACCTTCACATTTGGCCAAAGATGAGAGAAAACATATTTTCTGGTTTTAAAAAATACCCCAGTGTTCAAAATCTTGATATGAGTAAACCACTTCTTCTGGAGAAAAAAAAAAATCATTCATGTTGACTGTTTCCACTAGTCAAATTACTTGTTTATCAGACTTTAGATTATAGGAATCTACAGAAAAGACTAACATTTCATTTCAAAATAATTTTGATAACTGTTCGAGCCTTAGTGAGCTCTTCTCAAACAAGAAAAGCCACTTCCACTTGAACACATTGTAGGAAAAATTATGAAGAATTTTTTTTATTTATTACACTTTGGAAAAAATAAGTAATCATTGATTGGCTTAGAACTTTGAGCAGTAATTTACTAACGTATGAGAAGATCCATAAAGTTTCTAAAGCGTCTGTTTTTGCAACCAGAGGTTGCTTAAACATAAACTTAATATGTGCTTAAATAAAATAATGACAGGGTTAAATGGATACTTAAAGAGCCATGCAGTACACTCCCCAGTACCTAAATATACACCATGTAATTTGGTTTTCATACTAGATCTCACTGCAATGGATTACAACTGTCTGGTCACCAGAGCATTGCCCAAAAGACTGACTGATGCCATTCTGGGTATATTTCTTTCAGGATGCTTATAATGTCACCTTCATAACAACTTTGTAACTCAGTCTTTCCTGATTTCTGGTCCAGTGTTCTTGCCATGATACCACATCGTCTCTCAGCTTTAATGAAGACAAGTCCTGTGACATTTAGAGTACTATGTGGTTTTGAGGGCATAGGCGGTACACTTTCAGTTCTTGCTTTACCCTTTGACAGAATCGACGTTTTAATATCAGAAATGTATTTTTATTTTACTTGACCCAGCTTTTATCTTAATCAAACCACTTTTTAACATCAATTCACACCATAGAGAACAATGAAATAAATAGCAGTTTTGAAGGCCTTTATGAGGCATACATCTAGTAGGAAAACAACGTCTCTTAAAAGCAGGATTAACATTGTGTAGAACTGTGATCTTCACTTGGAATGTTCTCTCAATCAATCCTATCTTCTTCTTTTTCTTTGTCTATTTTAACTCCCGGTATTTTTTTTCTAAAAGTTCTCTTTATCTAAAGTATTCCTCTCTTTAGGCACTGGCTTCCAAATGAAGAAAGGCTCTTTTAAACCCTGAAATGCTATCATTTAAAGTATAATATGGAGGAGGAGAGGCTCTAGTTCTGACAGTTCTTATTTGGTCCTCTTAATCTGAGATGCCTTCTTGATGCTGTTCTTTCTAGTTCCCCAAGAAGCATTCCAACTCCAAGACCCAGGATTTCTCACCACAACCTCTGTGTTAGTCTCAGATTAATGTCTAAATCTTGTTTGATATTCTAGAGATTCCAGGATATGAATTTATTAATGCTTATGAGCCTCCTATCTTTCCAAGCTGACACCTGTCAGGAGCACCAATAGCCCTAACAGTAATTAATGCATCAAAATAATAGAAACACTATAGTATATTTGTGAGGATAGGAAGAG